AAGTAACATTTTCAATGCAGGACTTTTACTTGTATCAGAGTATTTTTACAGTGTGGTATTAGTGCTTTATACATTATGAGGTAAAGGATCTTCATACTTCGTCCACAACAATATTTAATGAAGTTAACTTATAACGTTACCCTCCTTGTGGTCAGTCTGCACAAGATCAACAAGCTTGTTTGCTTTGCATCCCCTTTAAACACAAGATAAGCATTGGATCTACGTCAGAGCGTCAGAGCGTCCACGAATCTTTCTACAGCGTTGTTAGCAGGGCGGCCAGAGCGATTTTTGACGCTCTCGACGGCGGCGGTGTGAACGCACAGTAACAAACCATACATCAATGGAAAGCTTATTTATTCAAAAATTGACACTTAAGACTGGTTTTGTGGTCCAGGGTCACATATGTTCCACAAAAGAAATATAGTCATACATGTTTGGAATGACATGAGGATGAGTAAATAACAGAATTTTAATTTTTGTGTAAACTATCCCTTTAAAGGTGCACTCATTCAGTTTTTGTTTACATTTCGCCTACACTATGGAAGTCCATTTTCATCTAAAATAGTTATTTGTGGTTGTAATTTAGACACAGTCACACTGAGATATAAAATTACATTAAAAGAAATAAAGTCTAAAATGTACAATAAACTTGGCACTGAAAAAAACTGAATCTGGACCATTTTAAAAATTCTTTAGAATAATGTTTAATAATGTTTCTGTGTCTATTTTAAAAATATTTTAACAGTTTCTTGTGTCTAAATTTAAATGCGGATGTGTAAAGCCTTAATTAGGGAAAAATTACTGAGTGCACTTTTATAAAAATAACACTAAAATCAGGTAAAATCCTTACCTGGTAAGGAGAGGTTGAGCTGGATGCTCTGATCTCCATCCTGTTTGTCCCAGCCCACAATCATCCAGTTCTCCAGTCCATCCGAGTCTGAATCCAGATCCTCGGGTGCAGGTACAGCAGGTACAGATTCAGAAGAGCTGTCGTCTGAATCAGAATCCAACACCACAATATCATCTGAGGAGCTCTTTCCTGCTTGAACTTGTGGTAGACAGGCTGAAAGTAACTTGCTGTTCCAGCGTTTGGATGATTGACCTTTCTTAGCACAGACGCTGTCATCTTCCTCTGTGTTGTCTGACACTGTGGTAGCATCTGGGCCAGAGTCAATCACAATAACATCTACAGGTGGAGCAGGAGGTGAGGTATTCTGCTGTGTTTGAGTCTGTGGTACTGATGACTGGACCTCTCTCGAGTCCTCACGGTCCTCCTGGATCTCAGCGCTGTAGTGCAGCTGGGAATAAAGCCGGAACTCCAGTTCACTGTCAGCGTCAGACAAACTGGAGTCTGCATCATCCCGGTACAGCTCGTCCTCATAGTCATCCTGCTCCTGATACCCTGAGAACATCTCAAGGAGAGCCCTAAACAGAGAGCAGCCCAGCCATAAACATCATCATTCAGTGGCCATACAGATTACAGATTTTTTCAGTATATCACCCTGTCTATATCTGCACGGGCTCCACCACAAACAAACAAAAATAATAATAAAATAAAATAACAATTTGTAACTTTTTTTTTTTTACATTTGTATATGCCAGCAAAACAGAAATGTATTAATAATAATGATAATAATAACAACAACAATAATTGCTCTCTGTTAGTTCATGTTAATTAATGCATTAACAAATGACTTTTGCTTTGTAAAATGTTACCAAAAAATCTATTGCCTTAAAAAAAATTTAATAAAATAAAATAATGCCTAAATAATGCAAACAAGTCATTGATTGATCGATTAATAAAACTAAAATATGTATACTGCATGCCACATTTTTATGTAATCACATTCTGAGAGCAAGCTCAGTATAACAATACTGTACATAAATTGAGCCCTCTTAGAAGCACACCAAATAAAACTGTTATTCACATTTTGAAAAACATTCCTTTTTTTCAATAATGAGTAAACACTGAAAAAAATAACTGCTTATATACAGGAATATATTTTCCTGTGGCTCAGTGGTAGAGCATTGCGTTAGCAGCGCAAAAGGTCGTGGGTTCGATTCCCAGGGAACACACATACTGGTAAAAAATGTATAGCCTGAATGCACTGTAAGTCGCTTAGCGTCTGCTAAATGCATAAATTAATTAATATAATTATTAATTATATCACATGAGCCATTGAACAGCTCATAGTGTGGGATGTAGAGGGCTGTTCCAGGAAGAAACTATTTTAATTCCATGTCCATAAAAATCTCATGAGACAAAATGCAATTTTTGCTCAGCATTTTCATCCTCATGGGAAATATGATCATTCACCCCACATGATGCAACCCAGTTGCTCAGTTGCAACCAATGCTCTAAAGAGAGAGACAAGGGCGAACTTAAACAGGATCAAATGAAATCAGTAACAGTTAAATACACTCATAATTGCATTCACATGGAGGGTTTACAAGAGTCAACAGAAGACAATCTCAAATCAATAACGCCAAGTGCAAAGACATGAACACAAAACACAGCTGCTGTTTGGTTTTGGTTGCTTCCTATCCTGAAGGATGACACTGAGGCCAGAGCAATGTCTCTTCTGTATGTCTCGATTGCACATACGTATGAACTTTGTTTAAATTTAGCCAGCTTGACAGCAGCACGTACGAAACAGAGAGAGACATTTCTGGTCAAATCCATAAAAACACAACAGATTTAACACGTAAACAACACCACATGGACAACCTAAAGAATACAGGAAAAAAACAAGAAACCTAAAGTGTTTATAAATTATACATATCTGTATAAAACCAATGATTAAATAAACCTTTGTACTCTAACAGCGAAGCCCAACATGAGATGATAACATATTTGTGATGAACATGTGTTAGCCTCAGTGCTATCCAAGTCACCCACGTGTTCACGTACACTTGGACGCCGGCTGAGGACGTATTGCTAATAAACACGCACGGCTGTGTTTTTAAACATCTGTAACCTCGGCTACAGCATATGACACGCTTCATCGAGTTTTCAACGAGACTGAATACAAATCTGACCTGTTTATAAATTCCGATTCGCAACACGGGGACACCCGCTTCCGGACTCCACATGAAATGGTTGGCCAACTATTCTTCATCCCTGGGAAAAACGCGCTATATTTAGCGCACACACTGAAGGTTAGTGCCTCTGAATCTGGGGGTTGTTTGAACTATTAACATGCTTGTGAATGGGCGAGGATTTGAAAATGTATGAACTGGCCTTACTTGAATTCTCTGTTTGTATGAAGCCTCGTTGACCTCATAAGAAACATAAAGGAGCCAGGTTGGTACCTGCCTGAGAAATTTAATTTTTATGCCTTGTTCAGATAGATAGAGTGTCATTTGGGAGAGGTTGCATTTTATTTCATGATAAACACAATGATGATGATGATGATGATGCTGTTCAGTGGTATCGAACAATGGACACATTTATTGCAAAATGACAAGAATTTCTTTACGCGGTAATTACTACAAGCCCTAACACACAAAATGATAAACAGTAACATGGCCTCATAAATTGGCTGCAAAAATAAATAGGCAAATAAAGAAATACATAAATACACACACACACACACACACACTGGTATTTATATCATTAAGGGGATATTCCATATCATTATGGGTTTTTTTATGCTGTACAAACTGTATTTTCCATACTCTTACCCTAAACCTAGCCCTCACACACAACTTTCTGCATTTTTAGATTTTCAAAACACTTTATTCTATATGATTTATGAGCTTGTTTCCTCATGGGGACCTAAAAAGTTTCCCCACAAAGTAGGGCTGCACGATTATGACAAAAATCATAACTGTCGATTATTCCCTTGTAATTGTAATCGCGATTATTAATTACAATTATCACAATTTACACTGAATGATGTTTATACCATTGTATGAAGCAACCACATATTTTTAGATGAAAATAAACAAGCTGAAAACACTCTAACTGAAAGAACATTTATTGCTGTTCCATAGTATTAAGACTCAAACGTCAATACATTATACATTGGATTGGTTTCTTCTTTAAAGGAATACATTTCCTGATAATTTACTCACCCCCATGTCATCCAAGATGTTCATGTCTTGTCTTCAGTCGCAAAGAAATTAAGGTTTTTGAGGAAAACGTTCCAGGATTTTTCTCAATATAATGGACTTCAATGGGGACCAACGGGATGAAGGTTCAAACTGCTGTTTCAGTGCAAAAAGGGCTCAAAGGGCTCTACACGATCCCAGCCGAGGAATAAGGGTCTTATCTATTGAAACGATCAGGCATTTTCTAAAAATAAATAAATATTTATATACTTTTTAACCACAAATGCTCATCTCGCACTAGCTCGACTTCACGTGTTACGTAGTCACGTTGGAAAGGTCACGCGTGACGTATACGGAAGAACCGACCCAGTGTTTTCAAAGCGAACGTGCAAAGAAAGTCGAATGCCCTTTACAAAAAAAGGTTAAACAACAAAGTTGGAGGAGAAAATGAGATGGAGTTTTTCACCCTACCCTAACTTTCTGAACTGGAGAACACAGACGAAGAGCTAACCGCGCGTGACCTTTCCAACGTGATTACGTAATGCGTGAATTTGGGGATGCGCATCACGGAGCTAGTGCATTTGTGGTTAAAAAAAAGTATATACATTTTACATTTTTTTTTAAGAAAATGACCAATGGTTTCACTAGATAAGACCTCAGCTGGGATCGTTTAGAGCCCTTTGAAGCTGCACTGAAACGGCACTTTGGACCGTCAACCCGTTGGTCCCTACTGAAGTCCATTATAAGGAGAAAAATCCTGGAACGTTTTCCTCAAAAACCTTAATTTCTTTGCGACTGAAGACAGAAAGACATGAACATCTTGGATGACATGGGGGTGAGTAAATTATCAGGAAATTTTTATTCTGGAAGTGAACTAATCCTTTAAATAATTATTAAGTATAATTAAAAAGTATAAATATGCATGGTATTATAATGTTATACTAAAATTAAAACAATGGGAAAACCCTTAAGATAACATGTAGAAAGATGCAGAATAACAGTGTACTTTTACACAATTAATTGCTGCTTTGAACGATTACGTAATTGTGGAATCAGTAAGTGTAATCGTGATTAGAAATTCGATTTATTGTGCAGCCCTACCACAAGGTCAAAAATAACTGGTATTACTACTCTTGTAGGGACATTTGGTCCCCATAATGTAATGAATACCAGTACATGCACACACACACATATATATAGACAACAACATTGCTTCAAAACTTGCTTGCAAAAATAAATAAATAAAGTGTATACACACAAACACACTTTTTCATTTATTTTTGCAAGGAAGTTATGAGGCAATGTTATTGTCAACATATATATCGATAATGTTGTTATATATTTAAGGCAATTTCATTTGTACCAGTTAGTTATTCAAGACATAAGCTGGCATTTCAAGATGTTGGCCTTGTATGAGATGTGAACTTCTTGCTATCTTTATTGCTGTAATAGAAATAACATGCAAAATGTTCTTTTATCCGTTGCTATGTTTGGCCTGTTCTGAGGTCCACATTTACATATCTTAACAGGCAGCATATCTGTCAGAAACATGTCTAAATATAAATCACACATCCATATGTGTGCTTTCGTTCTTTCATACGCTCTGTCTTTCTTTCTTTGTGAAATCACAGCCTACCTTTATCATCTCCAGAGCCTATGTCATGAACAGAGCGTGCGACTGATGTGGGAATCATGGTGTGAATGCCATCTGATTCTGAAGACGTCTCCATGCGTGTCAGTGTCAGAAAAGGCCATCAAAGCAGTGGATTGTTTTCTTTCAAAAGGTTGCATTTCCTAAATGAAGCCAAAAGCCCACCACATATACCATATTTTGGGAGAAGGCAGTAAAATAGTGCCTGCAGCTAGAGAACGGAATGCCTGGCTGCTCTACAGAAATTGCCATATTGGACGGATTTGTTGATCGTTATTACCATTATTGTTTTAAAAGGAAAAAGGGAAGCATTTGTGCGTCGGTTAATCTGCCCAAATTCAAACCAGTAGGGTGTTGAAGATGGAGTCACCAGCGAGGATGCAGGCTTTCCCATTCCAATATCTGATTCCACATGGCTGTTCTGCATGAGAAAGATTTTCATTTGGGAAATGAAGCCAAATGGCCTCTTTCACCAACCCCTGCATTTATATTGCTGATGTCTCCACAGCCTGCACCTTCAATGTGTTATTCAAGTGTAACATTGACCCATACTGTGCTGTGATCAATATTTGAGCATACTATTATCATGGCTTTGAAAGTTATAAGTCTATTTGGGTGCTGTATACAAACATAATAGCTTTATTACTGTATATGAATCCAGCTATAGATATCTAGCGATCTTCTAGCAAAAACAATCACAGCACAAGCGTAGAGAAAAACACAGTGTTATACATGAAGTGTATTAGATACTAAATAACGGGTTAATGTTAAATGTTAATAATGAATGAATTTGTCCTTTTTTTTCAGATGAGGTTTGCTTACTCCGTCTTGTCTTTGTGCTGATTCAATATCCCGAGCCCTTGGTTCAGACCATTTATTATACAGACTGATGTCATTCGCCTGTTTGATTGTGTTCCTTTTTGAGGGTCCACTTAGAATATCACAGGCACAGTTTGACCCCAGCATGTCGCTACACGTCACACGATCTGGAACAAAACTTTGAGTTAAGAAACCCATGTCCTCTTTGTGTGGTCTGGTGTTGTGCCAAGTGTTGACAGGTCTAGAACTGGCACTATTTCCTGCTGTGGCTTGGGGTTCACTTCTTCTGTAGACATTTTCACAGTTGTTATCAGGTTAATACTTCAAATGCATCATTATAATAAACCGCTCGATTAGATAACTACCCATTTGACACAGATTTTGGAAAACATTTTCAGTCTGAGGATTCTGTTTCTCTTACTGACAAGTCAGAGAGCACCTCTATGAGCAAACGTTATTAACACATTTTAATAATACTCTTTTATTCAAGAAAATAAAAGGATACCCCATCAATGTCCTTTGCATTTAAAACTAACAATAACACAGCATTGGCTGTAAGGTTTCTCTTTAAGCATGGAAAAATTTACATGTTTAGCCCAGCACTGCAGCAAAAGCTTTTCTTCATGAGCTAGTTATCATAACCAATCGAATTCTGCTATTTCTGGTGCATTTCACATAGGTTGTTACTAGATATACAAGATATGTAAAAATCATTAATATGGAAAGTTGCTTACCAAAATTACCATATTTTGTCGAAATACTGTTGCTAATGCTATGCGGAACCATAAAACAGGATCTCAAAAGCTTTCAAAATATTCTATTTGTTATTTGATGAAAGTGTTGGCTTTTGTTTCCACAGTAGAAATAATAATTGTAGTCCTACTATGTATTTTGAGGAAACACTGGTTGCTACATTTTTGAAAGGGATACTAAGGGATATAAGAAACGCACAAAAGTGTGTTTCTGTCATAAACACTGATGGCCAGATGATAGACAGATATTCCGAATTTCTTCTGTTGCTTTTGTTTTTTAAAGTTCTGCTGATAAGACTATTAGTATTTAAATTGTGAGCATGCGTGTAAATATTGTGGGAAACATAACATTCGTTTTATAGACATCTATTCATAATGCATTGACAGACCAAATGAGTTCAATCAAAAATGGAGGCGTCATTAATGTTGTTGATTTTCTCTGTGTATTTGTTTACTTTTTGTTTGAATTGTCCGCTTTGATTGTCGCGTCTCGGTCAAAAGCGATTATTTCCGCTTCCAGCAGCGCAACAGCCAAAATTCCCCCTTACCAAAAAACTCTCTGCGCTTTAATTACTTTATTAATCCAATTAAGAAGGAGACTGAAACACCACATTTTGTAATCCTATCACGTTAAGATTGCATGGGTGGAGCAATGTTGCCAAACGAAATAAAAACAAAAAAACATTGCAACTTCACACAACAAAGCTCTTTAGAAAAGTATTATTCTGTCTTCTATAAATACATGTATTACTTAAATTGTTTTAAATAATTTATATTTAATTTAAATATTCGCGCACAAATATAATTCCAAGCATATTTTAACTTTTTGTGGTTAGAGAGCAATTTACTTCTAGTCTAAATAAATTTTGCCTTACAAATTTACGATGTTAATCATAGTTTCTGCAAAAATAGGCATATTTGTTACAACTATTGCACTACAGTAACTTCATACTGCTAAAAAATATAAGATCTGACGTTTCTTGCCTTTTTTCTTTTAATACTAGTAATAGCTTTACCATGTTATAGGTACAGTGGTAATAAAAACTGTAGAAGTAGGCCTAGCATTATTATTATTAATAATAAAAATAGCCTAGTTAGGCTATTGTTGTAAATAATAATAATGTTTTAATTATAGCCTACATTAAACAGGCTTACATATAAAATTACATACAGTTTATATAAGTAGATAGGCTATATATTTTGTTCCGTTTTATTGTAAAACAAGAGTCAGCGGAAAACGGCTCATTTTCATTGAACTACTAGATGAATTAGAATCAAATTCACAGAACTGTTTTGTAGCACTTGATGTCCTAAAAATTCTGCCTGCGGTTTGTCCATCGTGGATAACAACTGGGGGAATAGTTTTTTGTTAAGTCTATTATTAATTCCATGGATGGATGGAAAAAAGAAGCCCTGTGGTCCCAAGTGTTAAAAGAGGTGACAAGAAGGGAGAAAGAGTGGACGTTGATGTAAGTTTATGTAGGACAAGTTTGGCCTTTGATCTTGGAGCGTGTAGCGATGCGGTTACATCGCCTCGGGTCACCGTGACAGTAACACTGCGCTCATCTCTCGTCAGAGCTTCACAAGCCCACACTCACAGAGGGCAGTTCACACTCAATTCAGCCCCACTGCATTATTATTTGATTTATTTATTGCAAATGAATACAGGCTTCCCGCCATGCGCGAAAAGTGTTGTAATTAAACAATTGACCTCTGGGCCAAAATGATCTGAAACAAGCCACGGGCCACTCCGTATTAAATTAATAAGGTCTAAAGCTTCATTCATTATTCTGCCTTTAGCCCTCTATCAATGGAACATGGCTTTATGAGGCGCGATTAAATGAGCTACATTTGTTGTTTTCTGAGTAGAGGTCAGAGAGTGCTGAACTGCGCGTCTATCGCATTGTTCATCGCTCAATTGTGTCAGTGTCGCCCATGAACCTCGAGACCTCAAATCATCATCCAGCGCGTGCATTCACGTGCATTGTTACGAAAAAAGCAAAAACATTCAGCAAAGGTCTTGCTTGGTTGATCAAATGATGCTTAAAAAAATAAAAACAATGCAATAAAAACAACCAAAAAAACTATCATTTTAAACTTATTTTTGTTGTTTTGGCAGATACATTTAATTGGTAACACTTATCACTAAATGCTACTATAAACATTATTAGACCTGCAATATTGCTTTATAGACCATTCGTGAATAGTTTGAAATGTCTAAAATGTTCATGCATAATTTATAAAAATAAAAATGTATAGGCTACTATTTTTATTTTATAATAACATTTTAAAACCTTAATATTGAAAGTTATTTTAAAGTGCTATTTGACTTTCCTAAACCTAAAATTAGCTCGGTTACGATTCATGCAGATGCTTTTTTGATGTTATTTATTTATTTATTTAAATAAAGATCATGTTCTGCATTTCACTTATCTTCTGAAGCCCAAATCCCTTGACGCACTTAAACGTGTCAGCATTAGAGAGGGACAGAGATAGAGGGAGCGAAAGTTATGCTAACAAATTAACAGATATACGCGAGTACGCATATACCCACTGCCCATATCTGAAGAGGGGACCGGTAGTGTGTGTGTGTGTGTGTGCGTGCGCGTGCGTGCGTGCGTGTGTGTGTGTGTGTGTGTGTGTGTATGAGTGAGAGAGAGAGAGGAAGAAAGAGAGAGGCAGAGAGAAAGAGGAAGAAAGAGGGCATGAGCGCGCGGCTCTTTCTTGACTTTGCCCCATAATCGTTTCACGCTTCCTTCAGAGTCTCTTTTCCACCTAAAACGTTTAGTCTCACTCCAGTGAACAATTGCAACGGCGCAACAGGGAGCGGAAGAGTCACGTTATTTCAAACTACCATTCGTCAAAACCACTGTTACTCAAAAGAGCAGAGAGAACAGCAACAGAGGACATAGGAGAGGGAACTTTTTTTGTTGTCACCACCACCCCCCCACCCGCTCGACCCTCTGTCCAACCTCTAGGATGGACTTGGACCAAAAGGGTCCATCTCTGCGCATCGGACGGTCGGGTAGGGCCTTGTCTGTTTCTCCATTTCACTTGAACTGCTATTGTTTGTTCAAAGTTGTCTACTAATAAAACTGTCTATCTTTTACAAAACTAAACTAACAAATACAGCATTTGTGCACTTGCTGCATGGGCTATATGTGTTTTATAAAACTGCTTGATTTTTGGATTGACCCTTATATTGATATGAACGCTGGTGGTCCATCTTTTGACACCTTTAACATAAACAAATTCGGGAACAACATGGGCCTAGAAATACTATAAGCTTGCATTTTGGCCACACCTTTGCTGACTCTGTAATTTTGACAGCATCGTATTTTGAGCTCGGAGTGTGTGTGGTTTGGGCCTATTTGTCCGACAGTCCAAAGGAACAATACAAATTCAAAACCGTCACACGAAATTTAAAAACAGAACTCTATTTGAAACCAATGACATTTCCTGTCACACTATGAGAAAGATGTATGCTCGAACTGAGTGTGAGTGTCTATACTGCAGATGTTTTCATTCAGGATCCAAAAGCATGAATTATGACTGTTCAGACCATGGATTCAGTAACAAATAGTTCTGTGTTTTCGTCGTTCATGCGTCACATTTAGAAGTCCCAATGAAATGGCGCGTGCAGTTGAGATTTATGCGTAGATTCTGTCGGTGTTGGTGCTTGTTACTTTGCTAAACGCGAGATACACAAATCGCACAGTATAGTCAGAATTGCTTGTTGTCATGTAGAAATTGTACTGTATTAGTATAAAACTATACATATAAAAGGGACATGCATTAATGCATGCCTACTTTTCTTCATAACATAATGAGAAATGAGAAACACACTTGAATTGCTCTGCCGGGGACTTATAGACCAGTTTAAATGATCTAAGGTGGTTTATCTCACCTGGTTCAAAGCGACTACGCCCAGCTTTCCTTGAAGACTAAATAATATTATTATGCGACATCCTAGTATATTTGGATCTCGTGTTTTTATTTGTCTGGTGATTTGTACGGGTGTAGTTTTTTTTTATTGTTGACCTACTATATTCAATTTGGCCTGTTTGTGTCAAAAAAATACATATTTGATAAATAGGCCACTACCTAACTGATGGAGTACGCCTATAAGCTTAAACATCTGACAGTCTTGTAGTCCAGATGTTCTGTTGGTTTCCCCCAGAGCTGTTTTTTTTTCCCAGCGATAACACCTGGGACATAATTTATAGAATTGATTTAACTTTCGATTAATGTGAAACACATTCTCCACTTCTCACGAATAGAATATATGAGTTTTTCTGTGATGTGATTCATTGCACATACGGCCAACTTGGAGTGGACTGGAAAACATGTGCTTGGCTTTGAAACTGATGCTCTGCAATATTTTCAATTATTATGAATAAATGTTCATATTTGCGCCCACTTCTGAACACTTTTATAGAAATGTTACTAGTTATAATGCGTATTTTCTTAAGATTACCTACATAAGTGATCTGAGTTCGAGTCCTAAATCATTATTGCCTTCAAAAATGTTCTCAAAGCGTTAAAACATGTAATAGATTGTTGTTGGTTTGACAACAAATGGTGTGAATGCTGATTCAATTTTTATCCCCAAAAAATCCAAACCAGAACCAAAAGCAAGCTGTATACATGATTTTAGTTGTTTTAGTTGGACTTGTTTGTATATTTAATTAGCTAAATATGCATAAAATTGATTTTGGGGAAACTGTTATAAGCAACAATTTTCCTAAAATGGGAGTATTTAATCACGTGGGCCACAGAATATATATAGCAGACTAAAATAATTCAGATAATTTACTCGAAAGGTTTAAAATGTTTAATGAGCCTAACGTTACAAAAGAATTATTGTTTTTTGGGGGGCCGGGTTTGTCTCTCAATATAAGGATCAAGACAACAGCTAACAAATAAATGATTCAAATGAAAGTCGACAAGGCCTTCATAACATTAATGAAAAGTTTCAACTTAATCAACATAATTTACTTACTAATGTAAGTAAAATAACTTGATGATTCCAATATTTAAACATAGGCCTATTATTCAATTTAAAACGGAATACAAAATATCTGCAAATAGCGCTGTTGGCTATTTTAACACTGCAACACATTTATCATTAGTTACTGTGATTTCACAAGTGTGTAAGTGTGTGTGTGTGTGTGTGTGTGTGTGGCAAGCTGACAAGATCCAGCTTCTTCACACGAGACCAAAGGTTCGCCCCCTCGTGGCACTTACGGCGCACCGCGAGGGAATCTTTTCAAGACTTATACAGAGCACGAATGTGTGTTAAGCACATGGATTTTGAACATGAAGTACAGGATTCCAGCGACTTTAAGCTAACGTTATTCTGACCACACAGGCAAAACATGTAAGGTATAGTTGTGTCTTTGATCTTTAAGTGTAACTAGTCACACTGGGACTAGTAGAAGATGCACCAAAACCTTCTCGAAAATGTTCTCAAACAAAACATAAAAATTCAGTTTTAGAAGAGTTACATTTGTATCCAGGCAATTAAACATCTCGGCAGAACGTAACACATTGAGAAACATGTAACATTTTTATTTCGTTGCATGTTTTGCTAAAAAGTTGCAATTTACGTTTTTTTTTTGTATATAAATGAATAAAATACATAAATTAATAAACATATACACCGGTAATCAATCAAAAAAATCAACTAGGCATGCGTTCGAAAATAAAATACTTAGCTCATTAATAATCTATTAATTAAGTAATTTATAAGTAATTTAATCATTTTATTTCAAGTATGTTTTTTTTCGTTTTCTTACCAAAGAAAATGAACTAAAGATCACATTAATGTTCATAAACACAGTAACCCTAGTATTACTTTTTTTTTTTTAAATGCTTGTTATTTTTGTTGTTGTTGTTGGTATTACACTGATCACCATGATGCTGACACAACAATTATAATCACCATTATTTAAAAACACATCACTGTTAGTCAGCTGCACTTAACATGACAAAATACGTAATCATTTGTTGGAAGGCTGGTCATGAAAAATTATTTGGCACAAAAATAGAGCAAAAATGTGCGTGGAACAGCTCTCGTGTCGGTCAAACAATGATAGGAAGAATCTTTTCTGCAAGGCTCATCAATAACAACGAATTATTTGAGCAGATTTAATGAATGCATAATCATTCAACACGTTAATTAAAATAACAATTTACCAAAATGTAAAAAACGAAATAAATAAATAAAAAACTCATTGTCGGAGATACTAAACAGAGGTCGTGCAAGTGCCGTATATAATTTCCAATAATGTGCAAATACAAAACTGTTTGAGAAAATCTGTTCATTTATTTTATATGAATTGTATGTTTTATATGCTTATAGCTCAGTAAAATGCTGCAATGTGTCAATTGCCATAAGCAATATTTTAAAAATGGTTTTACAACGCATTAGGCGTATTCATATAATTGAAAACATTCTGACGCAATATCTCATTATTATCTATTTATTAATTGGATGACTGAAAAGAGTGAAAATGGATATTTTAAAATGTCAATTTTATCCCCTTCCTTAATTGAAATTAGACTTGGGATCAGCGACAGAGAACCAACTTCGATTCAAGACTCCCTATTTGCCAGTGCACAATTGGGACAGCACGTCACTTTCATATTGGCCCAGTGTTAGCCAATCGGTGTCGTCTTTATCTGAGCGCGACTCAGGGCGATTGTGACGGCAGAGGTGCAGTGCCCGGATAGGTAGGCTTATCTTGATTGACAGTCTCGCTCGGGCTCGGTAGTAGATTCAGAGCGCTGTGGCTTTGGCGCTGTCCACACGAGAGCAGGTTCTGAAACGCGCCGTGCGCTCTTGCAGTGTTTGCGCGGTAAGGACGGAGGCTCGACCACTGCTTCTCACCGCCGGAGCGCTCAGGCTGGAAGACCACCTTTCGGCGGACATCCGTTGCGACGAGACAGACAAATTACTCTACCGTATCAGCCATCCGAGACTTTCCGTGGATTTTTACGCACGGACCGAGTGGTTCAAAACTTGACAAAGCCTGTTTTCTTCTTCAGGACATTTCTTGGACATTTTTTCCCAAGTTCAAATGCTTCGCGCAATGGCTATTTTTAATGTTCTGTTTAACTTTGGCAAACATTTTGATTCGGGGTTCATCCCTTTTTAATTTCAAATGTCCACGGCGTATGTCTATTGTTTGGGGATCTTCTTACTGTCGGAGTTTTTTCCTCCTAAAAAGACAGTCTGAGGGCGCGCTTTGAGCGATTAGAAGATCAAGATGCAAGGGATCGCTTTTACGTGAAGATAGGCTACGTTGACCATGAAGTAAATGTTTTGGTTTCCCAGAAACCTCACCAGGATTTTACAGATCTCTGGTAGAGACGCGCTCCGACAGTCAGTGAACCTCGGTCACAGTTCACGGGTCACGGCCAGTGGAGCGAGGATGTCAAGATAGAGCTTGGAAACGAGACTTCTGCATTTGTATCTAAAGCTTACGACTGTTCGGACTAATATTATCGCCAGGACTTTTCTTGAAATCCCATTTTGATGAATCCCCACTGATAGCTGAGTTGATTCACTCTGGATGCTGGGCCGCAGAAGCAGTTGTGTGACCCTGCAGGGTTGTACCCTGACCGACCATTTGCATTTTTGTTGACTAATTAATAATGGATCAGATAAACTGTAATGTATGAATTATCTCTTTTTCGTTCTCCCTCGAAAAACACAACAACTATTTACATATTTACTTTTACTCTTGACCTATAGGCCTTAGGTCTTCAGGTTCGATTGTTTATTTTCCAACCAAAGTTTCTGTGGAATTCCACACAGCTGAAACTGTGTCTTTAAAAGAGCCAGAACGGACTGAATACATACGCACAAACCTTTAAAAGAACAAGAACAAGAGCAGGACATTAAAGGCTTATTGGTGTTTTTTCACGCGAAGGCCTGTCCTGCTGACCGATGGAGATCCACTGCAAACACGACCCGTTCGCAGCGATGCACAGTAAGTTCACGGCAGACTTTCACTGCTGTCAAATCTTTGAATTCTTTCAAAGTTCTCAGAACATTCTTTTTCAGAATTAGAATATCTCAGATACACTCGGATTAAAGCTAATGAAAGCAAAGCACTGTGTGTAGCCTACTATAGCTGGTAAACTTTAAAAAGGCAACTAAAAGTCTTAAATAAAAGTGAAGTTTTTGCTGTTTGGGCCAATAGTTTTGGGAGTTTTCTCTTAATTAAAGACCGGGTTGCTTTGTTAGAGCTTCAGCCTTCTGTTTGACAACCCCTGGGGGGAAGAGATCGCGGCCAAGGCCAGCAGCCAGCGGACACAAACTGAACTTGAACCGCAGCTGAGAATATGGCAGACAGGCTCCGTAACCTTTAAATACTTTGCTTGAGGGTGGCTGTAAACAGGCCACTTGCGAGGCTAAAAACGAAAGCTGACGTTGCTCACTGTGGCGGAGAGATGTGTGGTCACTCCTTCGTGACATGGCGGACACCGGTGGTCCCCCAAGATACCAGCGTTAAGGGCCCCTTTTCTCTTTC